TATATAACAATACAGAATTTTTATCCTCCTTTGCTAACAATGCTCAGCTTACACTGATAACTGGTGCGCATATGCGCACACACACGCTGAAAGGAAACTAGACTGTAACAGCAACTGTAATTGGTTTTATGTGGCCCTTGAGTTATGCAGGCCCTATGTCAATGATTCTCATGGGCAACATGTGCTTGAGCTTACCTAACAAATTTGTTTTGGCACTGTAATCCCCAAAGTAGCTTTCATCAGTGTTGGGCGTGTGACATTCATACTCGCCAGCATCCTTAGCCTGAAGATTGGTGATGTGCAGCAAGACAGAGTCTCCTCGAATCCTCTCTACATAGATTCCTCCTGCCTTGACACGCTGGGCATAGACAGCATATGGGAAACTGGAATCACTAGTGCTGATGAGTTGCATTTCTCTCTTTGGGGCAGATGGCCAATACACAGACCACTGGAATGTCTGCTCCAATGGCCCCCCATAGCCACTGACATTGCACCAAATGGTTATGTGGTAGCCTTCTGCTCGATAAAGAGGGCCCTTCTGAACAGTTACCCTCCTCTGTCCAGCACAAAGACCTGCATACAAACCATAAAACATGAGCATAAAAACATTGTTGCAACATGGGCAGAGGTTTTTTGTCTTTTTCAAAGCCTTGCTCTGAGAAGAAAGGGGGTGGGGGGAACCTTGCAAAGGTTGATGACCTGAACACAACACAATAATCATAAAACATTCAAAACATTTAAAATATGCAAATCCCCAGTGTTTGAAAGTCATGAGCTAAACTTCACAAGTGCGATAAGTGTGTCTTTTAAAATAATGTTTAAGCTGTCCCATGTAGGGATGTGGGCTCAAATATATGCAGTCCAAATATACACCTGAAGAATACCTTATTGGTACTTTTTGGATATATTCAGGATCAGGATTGATATTTGGCAATATCAGCATCCTAATTCCAAATATTCCAAGGAATATCTGATGCCAGCATTTTAAAGCTCCAAACTCTTTCTTTTCTTCCCCCCCCCCTTTGGCTTTTCTGCAGATTTCCCAAGCCACAGGAGGAGGAGAGGGAGACAGTTCTCATAGGCAAATGGAATCACATGTTAGGGAGAGATTGCCCCATTGGTTCTGCTGATATCCTCTGGTTTGACAGTGGCTTTGTTGGACTTGTGTTGCCACATTGGCCCTGGGTTCTGCTTGGTTTCTGTGGTTTGACATTGGGTCTGTTGGGCTAGAAATAGTGTCCCTTCCCTTGCTTCAGTTTATTTGCCTTAGATTGTCTGGTTTGACATGTACTGGGTTTGCCACACTGGCCTGTGGTTCTGCTGGGATTCTCTGCTTTGATTGTTGATTCTGTTCGCATTTGGGAGGCTTTTGGCTAATGATTGTTTGCCGTTGTGTGTTTACATATTTCCCCCCTTGAGAAAGCATGGAATTTTGTCCCCCATATGAAACAATGCCCTGACCTGGATAGCACAGGCTAGCTTGATCTCGTCAGATCTCAGAAGCGAAGCAGAGTCAGCCCTGGTTAGTAGTTAGATGGGAGACCACCAAAGAAAACAAGGGTTGCTACACAGTGGCAGACAATGGCAAACCACCTATACTGGCTGGCAGGTTCCAAAGTCTGGTGTCATTCAGCCCAGGGTCAGGGCTCAAGAGATCAAGCACTGTCGTTCCGTCCAAGGTCAGGAGAGCAGAGAGTAAGCAAGGCAAGATCATTCAGTCTGAGGTCAGAGGAGCAGAGAGTAAGAAAGGCAAAGCTGTTCAGTCCATGATCAGAGGATCAGAGTTCTATGAGTTAGGCAGGGCAGTGGCAGCAGGTCAGTGTCCAATATAAACATTGCATCTATGCCTAACAGCCTTTCTTGACTGGTTTTTATAGCTTCATGCCTAAGGTTCAGAAGTAATCCTGCAACTACTCACCTTTGTCATCAGCAAGCAACTAGAGTCGGGCCAGGAGGCATGCACTCTGCCTTCTTGCCTGTAGCTCTGTTCTCAGCCTCTGTCTGCGGCTGGGTGTAGGAGATACTGGTGGGCTGGGACTGCCTAACTGAGGTTTACCTGCTGAATCAGGGCTGGGGAGTGTTGGTGGCTCTGTACCAGCTGTTGGCTGTGCATCCTGACAAGCCTATATTTCATTCTCTTGCTGGTCAACCTCTGTTAATTCAAGGCTGGCTACATGGGACTCCTCTTGTCCTGAGCCCTGGCTGACCCACGATACCACTTCTGAATGTTTCTTGCCTTGAAAACCCTACAGGTTCACCATAAGTCAGCTGCAACTTGGTGCCCCCCCCCAAGGAAACAATGGAAGATGGCTGGGTCATCTTGTTCAGGGGCACTTGAATCTTGGAGAGTCTTTGCTAGATAGGCAGCACCAACTGCATTGCAATTTTGGTGTCATTTGCTAAAAAAAAAAAGTCATTCTAGGTCATCCCCCCCCTGAAATATGCCCCATAGGGAATGATGGACCCAAAGATTTCAGAATCCCCCCAAAAAACCTAATGAATCTGAACACTGAACCAGTACTGGAGGTGCAAGTAATCCAGAAAACCAATAAGTATACCAGCCGTGAAATTCAGTTCCAAAATATAATGATCCCCCCCCCCCCCGGTGCACATCCCTGTTTACATGCACTTCCCATTGCTTGTTGTTTGGTTTCAGAGGGCTTAAATAGACAAGATAATGGTGATGCATGACTAGATCTTGCATTGTCTTAAAAAATACAAAAAGCATCTGCAGTCCCCCTCAGCTTGGATCACTGCTATGCCATTAAACATGAGAACATAAGAGACGCCAATGTTGGATCAGGCCAAAGGCCCATCCAGTCCAACACTCTGTATCACACAGTGGCCAGAAATACCAGTGCCATCAGGAGGTCCACGAGTGGAGCCAGGACATTAGAAGCCCTCCCACTGTTGCCCCCCCCAAGCACCAAGAAGACAGAGCACCACTTGCCCCAGAGTCCCTATTGATACCTTGTGACTAATAGCCGCTGATGGACCTCTGCTCCGTATGCTTATCTAATTCCCTTTTGAAGCCGTCCATGCTTGTAGCCGCCACCACCTCCTGTGGCAGTGAATTCCATGTGTTAATCACTCTTTGGGTGAAGAAGTACTTCCTTTTATCCGTTCTAACCCGCCCGCTCAGCAATTTCATGGAGTGCCCATGAGTTCTTGTATGGTGAGAAAGGGAGAAAAAGTACCTCTTTCTCTACGTGCTCTATCCCATGCATAATCTTGTAAACCTCGATCATGTCAACCCTCAGTTAATCCTCCCCCCCATAATACTACCCATATACGGCCTCCCTGAGGTTGCTGTCACCCGTTTATTTACTGACCACTGACAACTGGCCTTTACCTCACTGCACCATCAGGCCAGAACTTTATAGCCAACTGACACGGTTTCAAGCTGTACTCATTGTTTTAATTGTTATAATGTTTTATCGTGTTTTAAATTGAAATTGTATTTATTATAATGATGTTACCTGCCCTGAGCCCATTCGCAGGATGGGTGGGATATAAATGCAAATAATAAATAAATCATCTCAACCCCCAGTTGGTATTTGCGCCAATATTCCCTGCTGCTCTCATTTGATACATAGCACATCTATCTATCTAAATATTTATATTTGTACCCCACTTTTCTTCCCACTAAGGGAACAAAGCAATTTACAAGATCATTCTCCTATCCTGCATTTTATCCTTACAACAACCACCGTGTGACTATGTTATGCTGACAGAGAGAGATGGTACATGGGCAAGTTTATAAGACAGACTGACCCAAGGTTACTCAGTGACCTGTATATCACCCCACAAGTCACTGTGGAGGAATAGTACAGATTATAAGGACAGCATGGAGGAAAAAAGGGTTGAATACCTTCATTCTGCATCACAGCCATGAATTGGGCCCTTCCATAGCTACTAGAAGTTTAAACACAGCAGGAGATCGGTGCTGATCTAGTTAATTCCTTTAATTCTTCATAGTTCCCTGTTTCAGGTTTTCAAATTTTCCTTCACGCTCATGCAAATGAAGCTTATAAAGTGTGAAGTCAACAGTTTAATGTACTGTTGCTAGTAGAATGATTAACACATTTATTTATTTTTATTAAATGTAATTCTTTCTTTATCTGCAACAGCTTATTTTAAAACTTTCGCTTAGGTCTTTAACAAACCCCTGGATACATGAGATTCCTGGAGGACAAAATTATGAGGAAGGGAATGTGTGATCTTGGACCAGTCACTGTCTTTTGCCTAATCTGACAAGTCTGTTGTGAGGATAAAATAAATGTATATTATCCTGAGTTCCTTGGAGGCAGAAGATACAAATATAAGGAATGAAGGGGGGGGGGAGTAGAGTGGACATTGGTCCTCCCGAGATTAAGGAGGCCAGGCTGGTGACGACCAGAGCCAGGGCTTTTTCGGTGGCGGCCCCGTACTGGTGGAATGAGCTCCCAGTGGAGACCAGGGCCCTGCAGGACCTTTCACAATTCTGCAGGGCCTGCAAAATGGAGCTCTTCCACCAGGCCTTTGGAGCCGCCACCACAACCACCACCACAACCATGACCACAACCATGATCAACACCATCTCGATCACCAGTGCCACCAGCAATGGCAACTGATACTGCATGGTGAAGAGGCCTGATCTGCTGGACCCTAATTTCTGCCCGTGCCAATTCCCCCTCCTCTTATGACATCTGAAGCTGTTTTTGACATCTGAAGACCAATCAGCACCAAAATAAAATACTAGCACTTTATGATTATGGTTTTAATGTATTTTAATGTTAATGTTACTGATGCACTTTTCTCCACCACTGAAAATTCTAGGGTTTTTTCTTTACAGAAATTGGCCAAGCTCATGTGTAGACTGATGGATTTGTACAGCCAGGATTTATGAAGGAATTTGTCAACTCTGAATTAGAATGAGGTACATCATTTGACACAGAGGGCTCATGTAACACTGGGCAACAAAAGCAGCAACCCCCTCCCCATGATAGCTTTTCAAATATTAATGTTGACTGGATTTCTTTATGAACATCAACATTTCTTGTCTGCACACAAGAAAGAACAAATTTCTAGAGACACCAAATGACACAGTAAAGAAATCCTACAGATTTGTTACCTTTGAATTCAAACAATGATAGAAAAGCTTACCACACCATTTTGTGCACAGACTTCTACATAGTTAAATTGACAGGGAGGGAACAATTCTCTTTAAATACCACTGCCCCTTTAACAGGATGGAAAATACACCATTCTTCTGTCTTTTGTATGATGTATGCACTTTTTTTGTACAAAGAGAATAAAATCAAAGCCATTTCAGAAAAGGGGGGGAAACATACTTGGAATCCTCTTCTGAATAGTTAAGAACAGAGCAGAGGCAGAAAAGAATCCATCTGCAAAGACGACAAGAACATTTTGATCTTGATATTCACCATAGAAGAAAGCAGCTAATAATAGACTGGAGATGTAGTACAGAAAGCCAGTTTGGATAGTGCTATGCAAGTGCCATCTCAAAGTTGCTGAAGGAATGAGCATAGCTGATACAACAAAATGTGCTCTTCTGGAGCACCTCTTCCATCTCTTCCAAATGGAAAGGAACTC